AAATTGGCGAAATATTTAATTCTGTTAAACAAGCGGGGTGGTGGATGATACTTTGATAATAATGGTAACCGATCATAGGGGTAAAGGAAAAAGGCATGGAGGAGGTATCCCAGAAGAGATGAAAGTATTTATAGCCGTTTATTTTACAGGTGTTAACCCAAATTCTGAGATTACAAGTGAAAGAGAAAATGGTAAATTGTTTAATATAGATTGTGCAGCAATAATTCTTAAGACATTAGGAACAGAAGTTTCTAAATATTTTGATTCTATATCTTCTTGTTATTCAAGCAAGTAATAAATGTAAAAATCATAATGCAACAATTTGGCATTCAGAATTTCTTTGTTAGAATTAAAAAAGTTGTCAATTTAACGATAAATGAATATTTAAAACTAATTTTCTATACATGTTCTTTAAACAAAAAAGGTCAATAAATCATCATACGAAATTTAAATAACTTAAAAAAATTGTTTGTTTGAATAACACTGCAATATAATTATTTAGTTTCAATTCAGATTGTCTTTAGTATCAAAATTCTTAGTTTTTATCTATGTCACGTTTGAATTAAGTAACAATCAATTTGTATTCGATTAAAAGGATATTTTTATATTTTCCTATTGCAGAAGAATTTTTTTGTTGACTTCTCATCAAAGCGAATGAATCACCAGTGCAAAAAAAATCAAATTCTCATCTTGGTCTTTTAAAGTCTTTGTGGCTCTTTTGAAACCAAAAATTTGTATTTTACTTGATGTGGGCACAAAATATTCGCAAACCTCAGTTTACCACTTGTGAAAAGGTATGATACTCTTTTATTAGTAATCTAACCTAAATCTTACAGTATTGAAGTTCAATTTTCAGCATCAGCCAACTAAACAAAATTAAATATGTATACTCTCAATCTTAGTATCAGCTAATAAATTGCTTTCGCGTTGATATTTTTATCGATATATACATAAGGTAAAATGGGGTATTGTGATGAAGTTAAAGTTGTTATTAGTAAAATTTTATACTTTATTATATATCAACTAATTTTTTTTTTAGAATATAAGCTTATAATCTTGAACAATTTGATTCTTTTTAGTACTTTTTATAGGGCTTTAAGTGATACTAAATTGAATATCTTTTTTATATTTTGAAGTATAATCTATAGTTTATTCTTGTTGTCTTTTGTATCTTCTATAATTGTATTAAGAATCTGTACTGGTTTCTTTGTGGAGTTGCCTGAAAAATCTGTAAAGTTGGAGTCTTTTAGTATATTTTTTTTTATCAGAATCTCTGCAAGTCTTTTTGTGAGTATCTTAGTTATATACTTGTAGAAAGTTTCTAATAATACAATAGGTCTAATATTGTTTAGATTGTAGTATTATTCTTTTTCTTTTGGTATTAGATATATCTGTAACAGTTTTTACTTTTTGAGAACTTTGCCTGTTTTTATATATAAGTTTGTAACTATTCTAAATCTCTTTAGGCTTGTTTATTTGCTACTCTTATTAGTATATAAGTAATATCTGAAATACTTAGTACTATATTTTTTTTTAAACTAGTTAGCATAGCATTTCTCTTTATTCTTCTTCTAATATATTTTTATTTAGATTTTTGTATCACATATCTTGTATTTCTTCTTTTAGCTTATATATTTTGGACTAATCCTCACCTAGAATACTTTCTTGAAAGTTTCTTAATCTAAATTAGTTTTTAAAATGATTATATATTTTTTTTAATATCTTGTTTGGTTCTGTAATTAATCTTCTTGAAAAACTATTATCTTTGAGTAATCTGTTAATCTTGATTTTTTTACTTAGTTTGTCAAGTAAGCTTGCTATCATCTTCTCTTGTTGTTTATCAATCATTTGATATCTTTTTTCAATATTTTTATTAATTTTCTCACTTTTAATTTTTTCTAGTTCTTCTTTTCTTTATTTATTAAGGATTTTTTATTACTCTCTTAAATATTCAATAACCTCTTGTATTTAGCCTTAAATTTATTCTATATTTGAAATTAATGAACTTGACTTGTTTATTAAACTCTTGAATATTTTTTACTAGCTAGCACAATTTGAGATTTTTTCTTTCTAGACTAATCTATCTATTTAAAAAGACTATTAGCTATAAGAGCTTTGTTTTTTTTTTATACTTTATTTTTAAAGGTTGTTTGTTTGGGATTCTTTTTTTAGCTAGCTTTTTTTGTACTATCTTAATATTACCTTTGCTCACTAAATCTTATACTTTGTCTAGAAGGCTTTAAGTTTCTTTTTTAGTTAGATTTAGTAAATTTGTTAATTTTTATATTATGCTCTCCTTCTTCTTAAAGATTTTTTCAAGTTCTTCTCTATAACTGTTCTAGTTTTCTTGAGTTGCTTTATCATACAGAAAGATTGTTCTTGTAAAAGTTTGTCTTTTAAGCTTAGCATAGCTTACTGTTAAAATTAAATAATTTAATTCAATCTTTGCTAATATTATTCTATAGTCACTACTAGTAGTAGTATCTATATCTTAGATCTTTGCATTATATAATCTACTTGCAAGATCTATTTTAGTACTTTGTTTTTTATTTGTCTAAGAAAAATCTTTACTTTTTAGGTTTATTATTTTAAAAGAGTCTTCAAAATCTTGCTTTTGTAGCTATTTTAAAAGAGGATCTAACTTGAATAGCTCATTCTTTATTAGATATAACTTGTCTTGAAGAGGGTCTAGAATATAATTGAAGTCATCTATAACTATTAGTTGTGTCTTTTTGAATCTGTTAATATATCTTTCTAGTATCTCTTTTTGAACTTTTTTCTTTTATCTTTATTATTTGATAGTAAGTATACTATTATTATAATTAATTCTTGCTATTTAAATATAAAGCTAGCTATTATTAAATATTTATTTCTTCTTTTAATTTGGTCTAAATGTCTTTTCTATTATTCACTTACAAGCAGGCCTACTCCTGAGTTTTTTTTTCTTGTTTGAGTTTGTATTTGACTAGAAGCTTCTATAGTTTTCAAGATTTATTGCTACAAAGATACCTTTTTTGCTTAAGATATTTGTTTTTGCTGATCCTAATACATCTATATTATAAAATAATACCTATTCATGTAGTGCTTCTAGTTTCTGCTTATTATTTTACAGACTGTTTATGTTGTAGTATATAATCTCTAATTCTGTTTTGCTATTTCTACTTTTGAGTATTATCTTTTGTCTATTGTAGATTGTTTTATCTATTTTATTTGTACTAATCTTTCTTTTCTCTTTCTTTTGTTGTTAGTATAACAGTTTTTGAAGATGTTTAAGTACTAGTAACTTGATAAGCTGCTTGATATTAAAAAAAAATTTATCTCTATTGTCTTTTTTTTATTTCAACTAGGGCATCTTTAGAAGTAATTAGTAGATATAATCTGCTTTTTGCATATTTGTTTAATCTATTAAAAACTTCTTGTAAAAGCAACTATTGTTGGTTGATTCTGTTTTTTAAATTCTAGACTTTGTCTTTTCTATCTTCTGGTTGTGAACTTTTAAATTGATTAAAAATTGTTTTTTTGCTTCTGGGTCTTTCTATAATATTTCTTCAGGTACTTCTTTTATATTTTCCTTGTCATCTCAGATTTTGATTTATTTTTTTTTGTCTTTTGTTTGACTTCTTTTATTTTGGTTAGCAATACTAATGTTTAGCTTATTTTCTTTTATTAGATTTCTGCTCAATACTTTAGTATAGATAGGTTTCTTTTCTTTTTCTTTTTTAATATCTATTCATACCAGTTTCTTTTTATAGTAGTAAATTTTCATTCTTTAAACATTAAAGCAATCTTCTTCACTCTTAAAATATATAAGTATAATACTTCTTTTGTTATCATTACTGTTGTTAAGAATATATACTGCTTTGGCCTTGCTTGGTTTAAGCTATCATAGAAGCAAAGACTCTAGTATATTAAGTGACAGATCTTGTAGACTAGCTACTTATTTTTTTTATTATATAATTCTGTTTTGTCAAAATGGCTAAAAGTTATTTGATACAAACTTCACTCTTCAAAGTATACTATTTAGCTTTCTTGAAATGCTTTAAATCTTTTTTGATTTTAACAAGTATTTTGAATATAGGCTGCTTTGGATTTTTTAACTTCTTGTTATAAATCTTACTATTCAAGAATCTTTACTCTACTGTAAAAATTAAAGCTAGTCAGCAACAAAATTAAAAAAAAAACTAAAGTACTAAAAGCTATTTCTTTATTTTGTTTAATTTTAGCAAGCTTTATCTGTTGCTATATTGTTGCTTTATAAGAATTATCCCTTAAACCATCTAGCAAACAAATTTGCTTGCTAGAATTTTTTTTTTACCCAATTTTGTAAAATTACACCCGACTTTATTAGGCAATACCCCTTCTTTATATGCCAAAATAAAAGAATACAGGTTTGTACATCAACTCATAACTTTATTTCAAAAAGATTAGAAGCACAATAAACATTTAGATCACGTGTAAGTAGCATAATAAAAACCTTAAAAAAAGATCATTATTAATCAAAATTTTAAAAGAAAATTTTGGAATGTTTTTTACTATATCAAATATGAGTTTGTCACTTTTCTACGAAAATTTTGAAATATATAATGATGATGAGGAGGGTGAATATACACCAGTTCTGATATCCCACTGGCATTTCTTGAATAATCTAAAATTTGACAATAAGAACGAGCAAGAAGAAGAAGAGGATACTAAAAGTGTTCGCAAGAAAGATCGCAAACAAAAAACTGCACCAAAATTGCTACCACTACCAACAAATTTTGAGCTACTGGTTTATTAAAAGTGTCTATACCAGAGGTTTGTTAATTTGCCCCCACAATATGATATCAGTTTTTCAAAACTGATCAATCTGTTTTTTCTTTTTTTTATGAACAATTTACTGGATTAAATAATTGTTAATACAAATTCGTATACACTAATAAAAGGAGCCGGTATTCTTACTGGCAGATAATGGACAAATATAGACTATAAGAAGTCATTGTTTGGATTGTACTAGTAATTTATCAGGGCATTTTTAAACAATCTTCACTTAATCAATATTGGAACAAAGATCTGAAGCTCCCTTTCCACAATATTTCAAAACAAATATCACTAAAGTTTTTTGAACAAATCAAAAGATATTTGCATATCTTTCTCTATAGTAGTGATCAAAAACTACTTCAAAAAATTGGAACTGTTGCTTTCACATGTCAAAAATATCTCAAAACAGCTCTACATGCCAGGTTCAAATATCTCAGTTGACAAGATGATAGTAAGGTTTTTAGAAAAAAGTATTCATACCATCTGTATTAAAAACAA